TGAAGTGGAGGGTGGAGGGCAGTCTTGTAGGACGGAGCCCTTAATGTGGGGCATCTGGTGCTGTCTCCAGGCAGATAGCATCAGAATTGAGTTGTTGGACACCCTGCTGGTGTTTGAGAATTGCTTGGTGTTTATGTGTGGGAAGACCCCCCACACACACATATTTACACATATTGGAATTGGGTCTGGGAACCCAAACAGAATTATACTACTATTACTGCTGTGTATAATACTAATGTTGTTGTTATATGTAGGAAAAGGACACTAGTAGTATCTTTGCAGAGAAGATAGACAACTACTTCTTATATTGAAGCACTCTTTAATATGCTGCATATTTTCATATGAAAAATAGATTTAAAAAAAATGAAAAGTATAGATACATACTACAACACAGATGAACCTTGAAAACATTATGCTAAAACTGAAGGAACAAAATAGCAGCAGACTCAAAGACTCCAAGAAGGAACTAGTGGTTACCAAAGGGAAGGGGTGTGGGAGGGCACGTGAGGAGGGAGGGAGAAGGGGATTGAGGGGTATTATGTTTAGTACACATGATGTGGGGGATCAAGGGGAAAACAGTGTAGCACAGAGAAGGCAAATAGTGAATCTGTGGCATCTTGCTATACTGATGGACAGTGACTGCATTGGGTATGGGTGGGGACTTGATAATATGGGTAAATGTAGTAACCACATTGTTTTTTCATGTATACCCTTCATAAGAGTGTATATCAATAATACCTTAATAAAAAAAGTTATCTACATTAAAAAAAAAGAAAGAAAACATTATGCTAAATGAAAGAAGCCTGTCACAAAAGACTACATATTATGTGATTCCATTCATATGAAACGTCCAGAACAGGCAAATCCACAGAAGCAGAAGGCATATTAGTGGTTGCCAGGAGCTAGAGGTGAGGAGGGGTGTTGGGAGGAAACGGGAGTGACTCTTAGCAGTTTAGGGTTTCTTCTTGGGGTAATGAAAATGTTCTAATATTGATTGTGGTGGTTATACAACTCTATGAATATACTAAACTAGTAACTATACAGTTTAAATGGACAGATCTTATGGCTTATGAATTATATTTCAGTAAACTGTTTAAAAAATAATAGAAAAAATCTGGGTATGGAGTTTACCAAATTACAGATTAAAGGAGAAAAAACATGATAATCTCAATAGATAAAAAAAGGAATTCAGTAAAATTCCACAACCATGTGTAATAGTAACTTTAGAAAATCAGGAATGGACAGGAATCCACATAATCTAATCAATTTTTTTTCCCAAAAACTTTAGAGTAAACATCTCATTTAAGTTGTGAAGTATTAAAGATTACCCTTAAAGTCAGGAGCAAAGACAAGAATGGCATGTGTCAGACACAGAGCATTTTGCCCTACTTCTTTATTAACAAAAAAAATCTCAGTTTTGTTCAAGGCACCAACTGCTCAGTTGAAAAAAATAAAACACATTTCCCAGATTCCCTTGCAGCTAGAGTATGCCATAATTCTGGCCAATGATGAATTAGCAAAGTTAACTGAAGATTTCTAAGAATGTTTTTTTCTCCTCATGTATGCACTTCCCCTTCCTCCTTACACTTCCTTCTTCCTGCCTAGGATATGGGTGAAACGCCTGGACCTGTGGTGATCATCCATGATGACAAAAGCTGAGTACTCAAAGATGGCCAAACAAAAAATATGAATGATTTTAGGACACTGATGACAGTGTGAAGCTGGGCTTCATGTTACATGAGAAGAGCATACTCCTATCATTTGGGTTTTCAGTTACACAGAGCTAAACACAATCCTCACCAGTATCAGCTTGCTGTTACTCTTCTTCAACATGTTACTGAAGGTGTAATGTGTATGTGAAAGTAAGGGAAAGAAAGTAAAGGATGAGGATTTGAAGGGAAGAAACAGCTTACTCTCTAATGGTGCAAAAAAGATTACATCAAATGTAGCAAAGTGTTAATAACTGGTGAATAAACATTAGAATACTCAGGCTTGAAAGTTTTCAAAATAAAAATTTAGTAAAAATACTGATAAGCCAAAAAGAAAAACTTTTGGATGACAAATATACCAATAACAAAGGGAAAAGATAAGCCAAGGGAAAAGATAAGCCACAGCCTGGAAGTTGTCAGTAATGGATTAGAAAAAAGTTAGCTTCCAGAATACGTGAAGACTTTTACAGATCCTACAAATCAATAAGCAAAAGACAAACAATCCCACAGAAACACAGGCAGGTGATTTGGACAGACTTTTTTTTTTTTCATAGAAAATGAGACCCATTATGTCTAATAAACAGAAAAAGATAGCAAATGTATGAATTAAGAAAATACAAATTAAAACAACAATAAGGTACTACTTCACACCCATCAGATTGGCAAATTTCTTTAAGTCTGAGATGATAGATGTTGACACAGTTGTGGAATGACAGGAATTCTCAACCAGTGATGGGAGCACAAACAGTTTCATTTACTGTGAAGCACACTTTGACAATATCGAACAGTTAAAGACGCACAGGATAGTCAGCAATGCTCTGCCTACTTATGATCCCTGGAGCAGCAGCAGGTCCCTAAGATCAATACTACTTTCACAGTAACACTAAGACATCATTTGCCTTTTGTATTCTCATTCTTTCATGAGTATTCAGTGAAGTTTTCCAGAGCTCAGCAGACTGGCTGCAGAAGAAGATATGAAGCTGTCTTCTGTTAATTCAGATACTAAAGAGATTTTCAAAAATGTACAAGCAATGCCACTCTTCTATTTTTTTTTTCATTTTGGGAAATAGTTACTTTTAATAAAAGTGTTACTTATGACAACATGTAGTGAGCTTGTTACTGCAATTTTTTAATGAATATTTTAAACATTTCTCAGGCTTAATTTCCAATACAATAAATATTTATAACTATAATTCACATAAAAGCCTTTGGGTTCCTTAATCACTTTTTAAGAGTATAAAGATGCTCTTAGACCAAAAAGTTTGAGAACCACTGCCCTGGAGAAAGTATCACATGTGTATAACAGAAGACACTACAACACTGTAACAGCAAAGAATTGCAATCATCCCAAATGTTCATCAGATAGAAAAAAATTATAAACTGTGTATTTTTTTAATGTTAACTATATAGTCATTTAAAGGAATGAGCTAGCACTTCCTGTATCAACATGGTCAAATCTCACAAATGTTGAATTTAAAAAGCACCTGCTAAGATATATAAAATATGTCATGTATACAGTTTTAAAACATGCAAAATTATACTACTATATATTATTATTTACTGATACATACATACATACATAGCAAAAATAAAAAATAAAAACTGGGAATGATAAAAGCACAAATTATTGTAGAGGTTATTTTGGCAAGGAGGGGAGAGAAATGGCATGGAGGAGGGGCAGGCAGGAGCCTCCAATTAAATGTGGAATGTTTATCTCTTAAGTAGATAGTAGAAATATAGGTATTCATTATATTAGTCCTTGTAATTTTTTGTATAATGAAATACATCATAAGTAAAAAAATAAGAATGCTAAATAGATAAAATAGATGTTAGGAAGGGAGACACCACAGGACTAGATAGATAAAAGATTGCAAACTAAGGATAACTTAGGTTTGATTTAGGTTTCAAGTCTAAAAAACTGGGAGAATATTGATGCATTAGCTCAAAACTGAAGAAACAGTTTGTAAAAAGGTAAAAAAGGTAAAGTGTTGGGATCTAGATACACTACTTTGAGAAGCACAGATGACAACAATCTTAGAGTTGTAAATTTAGGGATGATGTTTAGGAGGTCAGGGCCAGAGACACAGATTTGGGACTCTGAATAAAGACACTGTGAGTAAAGATGGAAGGTTTGAGAAGAGATAAAATTACTAAAAAAAAAAGGTGATAAAGGAAGATGTGGGTGTGGTGAAGCTTATCCGGAGAGAGCAGAGCAGAGAGCTGGTGGAACACTGACACTGAGGGCGGGGTGTAGAAATGAAAGAGAGGCTAGTGGAAGATAGCAGGTCCTCCGAAAGGTAAGAGGAGGAATCAGAGTCAGGTGGGAGAACTTTCTAAGAAAGTTGGCATAAAAAGGTTCAAAGCGAATGAGGAGTAAGACTATGTCACTGAACTGTATTTGTGTAATTTCAGCTCACACTGGAAGTTCCCTAAAACTTGCCAGTTCCAGGAACCCAATATTGACTAATCCCACCCGCTCTGACCACACCTCTTTCACCCACCCATTCATGCCAACAAATAGTGATTATCTTGTATTTGGGCACGGAGGATACAATAATCAATGTCTCTGTCTTCATGGTGCTTAGATCATAGTAGAGGAAGGAAACTTTAATTAACCACTCAGTGATGAATGTAAAATCACGACTATAGTAATGCTATCAATAAGAGGTATGTGAAGCTTTTTGATTACATCATTGAGAATTGTTAACTCCCCTCCTTTCAGCAGAGTATAATGTACCTACTTAATCAGATTGTAAGCCCCACAGGGCATACGTTTTAGACTGTCTAAATACTCAGACTGTTTTCTTTTGGTATCTTCTCCAAGTGCCCAGCGTAATGCTTGAAAATAATGGGTATTCGGTATATGCTTACTTATATATTATGTATCTGTAACTTGATGCTTCAGATTTTGCAATAAACATGTCCTACTGTATGGAAGAGCTATGACAATTTTTTTAAAAATACACTGCTTTGGATGGGTATTACAGGAGTCGTAAGGCATAGTGCAAGCCCTGAACAGGTTAGCTTGGTGTCCTCCATGAACATCCCAGCAATTACCTTGAGAATGCTTAGGATTATTCTCAAAGGGAGAGCAGGTAAAAGCACAGAAGGACTGGCACAAAACATTGTCACCTCTAGAAAGACAACTTGAAGTGTATACTCTACCAACAGTAAACCAGTGCTATCATGTTATTTTTACAAATAAAAAACAAAACATTCATCATAGAGCAACTGGCCATGACAAGAAAAATAAGAGTTCCGCAGAAAGCAAGACGCAGTCGCACTACTTACATCACGAAACTGAACCTTTCCGAGTTCTCCTAATTCACTGACGCAGCAATAAGCAGCTTCTGACTGCAGAAAAAGCTGCGCCAGCGTCATCTCTTCGCTCCGGAAAAGCTCCCCCATGGTGGCAGAAGGTTCCAGTCAACGGAGTATCTGGATTTCTTTCCAACCTAAAGCAAAAAGAGGGAATTACATGGCCTTGGAAATTACCAAGAGGGCTAAGAGCAAACAACACCCAGGAAGGCTCTACCCCTTTTGCATTTCGTATCTTCCACCCCATGCTGACAAGGCTTTAACAACTGTTTTGACATCCTGCTTAGAAAGAGGGGAAAGGAGAAATTGCAAAGGCTGTTACTGAGTCCTTTCCTACAGAGTGTCTGCTGAAAAGTCACTTCCTTTGCAGTCAACATCAGGATCGAATGACAATCTTTTGGGGTATGTCAATACATAAGAATGCGTCCAGATTAAAAACAGGAACTGGGAATCCAAAACAGCTCTTTAAATACCCTGGACACAGTATTATGAGACAGTGACATTCACACTGCTCTATCTTTTCTTGGCTCGTATCAGGAAACAAACAGAAGAGACCTCGATTACCCTCTCACAAAGTATGTCTCCACTGCAATTAGTTTTCTACCGTCTGTCCATTTTTAACAGCCAAGTCCCAGCACTACCCTAAAGCTACAGCTACCTTAAAGGGTTTTCCAGACTCCTCACAAAACACCATTTTCTTCCTAAGGAATCTAAACACCTAAGTATTAACTTTAAAAAAAAGAACCAGGTTGTACATTCGGCTCAATTTCAAGTCAAGCATGACAGCAATATATTGATAATGACAAAGCAGTTTTATCAAGCCACAGAGAATAAGCCTTCCACCTCCATAGCCTTCTGTTTCTTATCCCCACCTTCAAGATTAATTACATTCGTCCATCTGTTAAAGCAGCTCAGGAATGAGCCAATAAAGGTTTCCTTTTAGGGCTGGTACAGTTACCGGATATGAAAGACAATTGGCGCTATCAGTGGTCCTGAAACTGCAAATTATTTATTCTCAATCAGCGATTATAAGACACAGGCTGCACAGTATCTAAATTCAGTAAACACACAGTATTTTTAGTATCTGAGAGCATCCATAATGGTAGGTGAAAAACTGGCATCAAAGGAAGAGTTACTCTTTGGAAGGCTGGGAGACATTTTGAGAAATCTGAATGACAAAACCTTCGGGCATTTGATGTTCAAGGTAACAAAACTACATACTCAGATAAGCAAGGATTTATCAAGAAATTATATACTCGAATCATCCAAACAGCTGTTATCAGCCTCTCTACACTCCCCTCAACAAGGATGATTCCGTAACCTCAAACACAAATTATGCCTGCTTAGCATAGTTCAGAGTCTGCCAATATACGACATCCTCCAATGGGTTGCCTCCCTCCTTCTGTTCTTTAATGATTACAAGTCTCCCTAGAACATTATCTTCCTGTAGACCAAGAGAAAAACTAAATAGGCCAAAGCGACTCGGGATAGCAATGTCACAAAACAAAATACGAAGAAACTAATTATGTACAAGATGAGTCCAAATAAAGCACTCCCGCGCCCTGCCTGTCATCCATCCAGTCCTCTCCTCCAAACTAAGTATTCAGATCACCTGCTTCATTTCCTGTCTACCCAGTGAGAAAACAGGAATTCCCTGCGCCCAGACACATCTGCCTCCTTGAGTGAGGAATAAAAAGGGGGAATCTTCAAATTGAGTCCCTTTAAGAAGCCCCCAAATTCTTCTGCCTACCCAACATTGTTCCGTTCCTTCCCTTACCCCTCAAGTGGGGTAAGGGATCAGGGCCTCCAAAGGGCAGAGAACCTCTGGTTCCTCTGCCCACAGGCGAGGTGCCCAAAGAGGGATGAACCCCCTTTTGCTCTCAGAGACCTAAGATCCCTAATTCCCTTGACAGTTGTAGAGGCTGTTAGAAGGATTTCCGGTGCCCCTCGGAGGCCGCTGCTTGCCGGGCTGTACCTACAAACCCCGCTCACCTCCAGCAGTAGGTCGGGACGCCGCCAAAGCAACCGCCGCAGACCGAGTCCACAGTCTCGGCAGCTCGGGGCCGCAGCGCCTCGACGTGCGTGCGTCTGCAAAACTCTGCCCCCGCGCCGCCGCGGGCCCCGCCCTCAGGTGACGTCATTGCGGTCGGCCAATGGGCTGCGACCTCGCTCTGCTGCCGCAATGCGGATCGCGGGGGCGCAGGCGAGACCCTGCGTGCTGACGCCATCTTATTCCCGCAGCCGGGAGCGTTGGTGTACGTACCGGCTGTGGGTGCGGGTGGTGGAGGCCTTCGGGAGCCCTTCTTCCTGGCATTTATCCTCGAGGCAAGGCTGCGTGCTTTCTTTATATTCATACCCAAAGAATCGGCTCACAACTGCTTCTCCAGCGAAATAGCACGAAGGAAGGGGAAAAATCATGAAATGGTCTGAGGGCTGGAAAGGATCTTGAAAGTGCTTCCAGTCCAGTCTCCTCTGCATACGCACACTCTTTTCCCCCTATTTTACAGAAGAGAAAATTTGAGCTCCAGAGTGGGCAACGAAAGATTCTAGATCCTGAAGAGCCTTGCACAGGGGCTCGTTCACTTACGTATGGGAAACCCCTCTTTAAAAAGGTACTTGGTTCAGTCCCTTGGTTCAGCAACTGTCCAGGGTCTGTTTTTCTCCAATTAACTGACGGGGAAAAAAACCCCATAAAACTACATACTGTATAAGTAAATTTTTCTCCTTGGGCAAGGGAAACAAAAGCAAAAATGAACAAATGGGGTTACATCAAGCTAACAAGCTTCTGTACAGCAAAAGACACCATCAGCACAACAAAAAGACATTCTACAGTATGGGAGAATATATTTGTAAACGGTGTATCTGATAAGGGGTTAATATCCAAAATACATAAACTCACACACCTCAGCACCCAAAAAGCAAATAACCTGATTAAAAAATGGGTGAAGAATATAAACAGACAATTATCCAAAAAAGAAATTCAGATGGCTAGCAGGCACGTGAAAAGGTGCTTCACATCGTTTATATCAGGGAAATGTAAATTAAAACTGCAATGAGAAATCACCTCACACCAGTCAGGATGGCCAGTATGGAAAAGACTAGGAACAACAAATGCTGTCAAGGATGTGGAGAAAGGGGAGCCCTTCTACGCTGCTGGTGGGAATGTAAACTCGTTGAACCATTTTGGAAAGCAAAAACTAAAAATAGAAATACCATTTGACCCAGGAATTCCAATCCTAGGAATTTACCAAAAGAAAACAAGTTCTCAGATTCAAAAAGACAGATGCACCCCTATGTTTATTGCAGCACTATTTACAATAGCCAAGATATGGAAGCAACCTAAGTGTCCATCAGTAGATGAATGGATAAAGAAGAGGTGGTACATATATACACAGTGGAATACTATTCAGCCATAAGAAAGAAACAAATCCTATCATTTTCAACAACATAGATGGAGCAAGAGGATATTATGCTCAGTGAAATAAATGAGGCAGAGAAAGACAAATACCAAATGATTTCCTCTTTTGTGGAGTATAACAACAAAGCAAAACTGAAGGAATAAAACAGCAGCAGACTCTCAAACTCCAAGAAGGGACTAGCAGTTACCAAAGGGGAGGGTGGGTGGGGAGGTAGGCAGAAGGGGATTGAGGGTTATTATGATTAGTTTTTATGGTGTTGGGGAGGTCACGGTGAAGACAGTATAGCACAGAGAAGACAAGTAGGGACTATGTCATTTTACTACACTGATGGACAGTGACTGCAGTGGGGCATGGGGGGGGGACTCAATATGGGTGAATGTAGTGACCACATTGTTTTTCATGTGAAATTCATAAGAGTGTCTATCAATGATACCTTAATAAAAATAAAATAAGTTAAACATTTTTTAAAAAGTAAATTTTTATATTGTTTGGTGGTTTCCTGTGGGCCCATTGATCACATAAGGGTTACCATCCTTCAAGAAGTTTTGAAGAGTAACTTTTTTTTTAAACGCAAAAGTGATGCCAAGTTTTATTGACAGGAACGCTTTTTTTCAAATATTGACATCGATTCCCTTGCCCATCTTCTAAGGAGTAGGGATCCCAAGTCGTTTATAACAACCGGAACTGTTATCAGGAAAAATGAAAAACTCTCAGAAAACCGGTTATGCTGTCTCCACGGGTGGTGAAACTTTGAGATTCAAGTGTAATGGAGATATTTCAGATAAAAACCTGATGCTGACAATTTTGTCTACCTCGTCTGCTGATTATCAGTCCTGTTGTACCAGCTTAAATGAAGTAATGAAGAGCAAAGTGGACGTTTTATTTGAAATTTCTGTCTCAAGTGAAGGTATAACTTCACTCTGATATGGTTGAGAGAAGCAGCACCTTGCTCAGGCCCAGACCTCTGTTTTCCCTGTCATCCTACCCGCCCCCTAGCCCCTTCAACTTTCTCGGCAAGGCGAGCAGATAGCGACCCATGTGGGAAAAACTGCCACATTTTATAAGGCTCTCACACAATGTCATTTCCTTCCTGTGAGACTTAAAAAAAGAAAAAAATTTTTTAAACCTCAGACTCAGCTGCTTCCTAACCACCAATTTTTCATACTTCACCTTTAAAACAGCCTTTCATATGGACTCATCTCAGTCCCCTTGAATTCTTCTTTTCATGGCCTCCTTGAAAGTATATCTTCTCAGAGCTCCTTTTCATTTCCTGCCATCCATCTCTCTTCAGTGTTTTTGTTTTTGTTTTTTCCACTCCATGCTCACTTCCTTGGCAGCCTTGCCTATTATCAGGTTTAAATGTCTGTGTGTGGGACTCATACCTATTTTTCTATCCACCTCCCTTCTCCAAGGCTCAGAGATGGAATTTCAAACTGCCTGAATAATGCCATTCAGGCAACAGATGCCTGCTGCTGAGGTCCTGCTATGTGACAGACGTGGTGTTAGGTGCCAGGGATAAAATAAAATAGACACACTTCTCCTAGAGGAGGAGCTCGTGGTTCAGTGAGAAATAAAGTTCCAAAAAATTACAGAGATTAATACAATGATCAATACTTATTCTGTACCAAAAGTGAGCAGGCACTTTTCTAAGTGCTTTTAAATGTGAACTCATTCAATCCTCATAATAATATTAGGAGACAGATATTATTGTCCCCATTTAACAGATGATGTGACATTGAGGCACAGTAATTTGCCCAAGGTTACTCAGCTAGGAAAGGGCATAGCATGATTCAAATCTAGCCAGTTTGGCCTCATTTCCTGTGCTCTTAAGTATTGCACTGTTCTTCCTCTGTAAGGCTGTCTCTGAGTCCAATCTGAAGTCAAATCTTGATCTGCCACTTAATATGTGTAACCTTAGGACTTTCTAAGTTCCAGTTTGCTTCTCTGTAAAATGGGTTAGTAATCATACTTACATGGTTATTGTGAGGAATAAAAGGAATTTAGCACATGCTTGGCATTCAGTTGGCTTTCAGAAACTTAGCCTTCATCATCATCATCATTATTGAGATACAAGATACTGTATAATGGACCTGAGGATGTCAGAAAAGGTTACATTGAAGAGGTGACATGACAGTAGAGCTTTGAAGGATTAGAGTTCTCACTGAATAAAACTGTCCCTTCCTCTGAGATCCTTAATCCTGCTAACAACAGCATTGTTTTCCTAGTTACCCAGGCTCCAACCTTAAGCCATCTTTAATTCCATTCTTTCCCTTTCCACATTTAGTCAGTTGCCATGCTATACTAATTGTGTGTCCTGCACTTATTTCTTGCCTCTACCCCTTCATCCTTATTTTAGATAACCTTGTAGAGGTTCATTTGCCGCTCTCATAACTAAAACAGTAGTGTGGACAAGGCAACATAGTATAGTGGAGAAGACCACAAATTTTTGTACCATCCTGAGCTAAGGAGGAATCTCAGTTCCTCCAATTATTCCATCTGATATCAAATGTGAGAGGAATAAGTCTCAGCTCTAACAATTACAAGGTGTGTGAACTCGAGCGTTAGTTCACCTCCTGAACTTCCATTTTTCTCATTGGAACTCTCATGGGACTCCTCTGTATCTCTTTTATAAAACAATACTTTCTACCGAACTTTTTTTTTATTACCAAACAATGAACTCCCTTTCTCCCTTAGCATTGGGCCTACTCATTTAATTGTAAGTACCATTTCTTGAGTGAATGAGTGAATGGATAAATGATCCTGAAAGAAATGGGGGCCTGCTAACAAAAATCTACTATTAACAAAAGAACATAGCTATCAGGGGAAAAAAATGATCACACCCTGCCTCTTTTCTCTATCCTCTTAGTTTTATGGATTTCATTATCTGTGTGGAGGAAAGTTTGTGACAGATGCTGGCTGCTGGCATTCTTGTAACAGAGATACGAGGGATAGCTGGGGACAGAGTGGAATCTAAAAATCAGAAAATATGTGTGGAGTCAGTGACAACTTTGTAGAATCATCAAGTTCAGTACAATAGTAGTACTGATGTTTGTATTCCATTTACAGTTCTCAAAGTTATTCTATGTCAGAGCATTATCTATGAGGAAAATGCTTTTTAAATTCAGTGATGAAGAGTACTTTTGTAAGTGGCTTTTGGTCATCAAAAATTCATTATTCCTTCAGCAAGTATCTGTTAAGTGCATGTTGTATACCAGGCATAATGCTAGAAGCTGGAAACGCAAAAATAAGCAAGGAGCTCAGTCAATAAGGGAAAAAAATGCTAAAAAATGAGCAAGGCATTCTATCGGGGAATGCTAATTATAATACAGCATATGTGATTGGAACAGAAGCCTATGGAAGCCCAGAGAAGAGAGTTCTTAATCGTGTTGTCTTTGGGGACGGCTTTAAGAAGATACGGCATTTGAGATGAATAGAAGTTTGTTCAGAGGAGGAGACAAAGGCTAATAGAACAGAAAAAGTAGATTCGACTAATAGGAGACTAAAAGCAGATTTTGTTTTCATTATAGTCAGCAAATACATAAACTTAGTCCAAAACTAATTGAAATGCTTTGATCCAGAATAATCGGGCATTTATGTTGATTTTACCTGTAGTTACCTGTATGCTTCTCTAGGAAAGAAAGTAAACAAAAAGGATCTTCTGGGTTATGTGTAAGCTTTTCTGTCACTTGAACAAGTACAGCGTATGTC